TAAATATTGATGAAGGTTAAGAATTTTGCGTTTTATTTAAAATTTCCCGAAAACTTTTCGGTCACAATGTAAATAATAACAGAAATAATATTTTTTTACCGATGAGAGAAAAAAATCAAGCTCCCCCAGAAAAGTAAATATTTTAAAAGTAAAACCTGTGATTAACAACAATTAAAGCAAAATAAAATTACTAGACATTTGGCTCTATGAAATGAGATAAGTAATCTCAAAACTAATATTGCATTGGTGATAAGTCTGCAGTAAAAGTCTGCTTAAATATAACAAATAATACAATTAAAAATAAAACAGTATCATTATAATTTCCAAAATATAAAGATTCGCTAAACGGATTCTTTTGTATCTTCTAAGCAAAGCCAAAAACCGTGTATTCAAATGACGTCAATATGGAAGATTGCAAGTTAATACCAACTTGGTTGACCAATGCCTACTTCCAGAATGTGTTGCGAAATTACAAAAAAGATACATCTTTGACTGTCACAAAAATGGAATCAAGTGTAGCAACAGGGAAAGGGGAAAATTTCATAAGTGTGATTATACGTGTTATTGTGGAGTATAAATCAAATAATAAAGCCTCAAAAAGCGAACCCTTTATTGTGAAATCCAAGTTAGAACACGATGTCGCCGTAACACTAATATTGGAACCATATCAAGCTGAAGCAACGGAAATGCTGATGTATGATAAAATATTGCCAATACTTAATGAATTAATAAAATTGATTGATGAGCAAGAGAAACTTTTTCCAACAGCCATTTTCGTGGACTATGAACATAGGGCCATAATATTCGAAGACCTCGCAGAATTGGGTTATACTTCAGCAGCACGTTTGAATGGCATTGATGAGGAAGTAGCGAAATTGTGTCTGGAGAATATGGCTAAGATACATGCTACTGGTTTGGTATTCAATACCATGCATCCGGGTCTTTTACAACAGTTGCATCATGGTGTTTTTAATCGCCACACTAGAGGATTTGCAGCATATTTCGAAACTATTATGGAAGTTTGTGCAAACTTTGCTGGAGATTGTGTTGATTTAGGAATTTATTATAAGGAAAAACTATTAAAATTAAAAGATAATATGATGGAGTGTGGAGCTAGAGTTTTTGATGTGAAACCAGACTTCTTTAATACACTATGTCATGGTGATTTCTGGGCTAATAATTTAATGGTTACCTATACAGAAGAAGCAAATATATCAAAAATAAAAAATGTTTTGGCTTTGGATTTTCAATTTAGTGTTTGGGGTAGTCCAGCAGTGGATTTACATTTATTTTTTAACACATCATTGAGACATGAATTACGTCTTCATAAACAGAAAATATTAGTCGAATATTACTATGGGATTTTGACAAGAACTCTGCAAAAATTAAACTACACAGGCGATGTGCCAACACTAAAAGATTTATGGGTGCAGTTAGAGGCTAAACGTTTTTATGGTAATTAGTTCAATATATTTTTCAATGATTATTTTATTTAATGTCTTTGATTATATACTATATCTAATAATTAACGAATTTAATTTTTTTTTTGTGTTATAGCGGTTACTGCGTCACTTATAGTACAACCAGTATTACTAAATGAGAATAATGAAGACGCCGATTTTAATGCTTTAGTATCTGATGATGAAAGAGGTCGGAGACTTCGTAGCATATTGTATACTAATAAAAAGGTACAGGAATATGCTAAAATACTCATACCTTTTTTTGACCAGAAGGGACTTTTAGATGGAATAGTATAAATTGATCAATTATAATTTTTATTAGGCAACCCTGATCTTATGACTGGGATGCAAATAAAAAATTAATTAATTTTATTTTTTCATATTATATGATGGTATAAATTGATTATTTATTCAATTTACTTAAATTAGTGTGATTAATAAATAAATAAGCTCACCTAAGACTTGTTTATCAACCAGTAATTAGTTATAGCAAAGCCTACTTTTTATGCAGTATTTTATTATTATTTAATACTTATAATATAGGTTACTTTAGGTTGTACCAACGATCCTAACGGGACCCACTTAGGCCTATAGGCCCAATGTGCTACCGTAATATTAAAAACTCAAGAATTAAAACCTCTAGAACTTTTGGCAAAGCTTATGATGCTATTGAAAAGAAAATCCTGAAGTTCGCCATGATCCTCAAAAAAGAAAGCACGCACCTGTGCCGGACAGAAGCAAAACAGGTGGGAAGCACTTTCATCATCCTCAACACAACTGCAGCAGTTATGGTTGAAAGGGAGATTTAGTAACATCAGACCAAGCACTAATAGGGAAACCAAGCAATAGGGAATCAATGCAAACGGATGCCTGCAATAGGGGATCAATGCTGGATTTATTTTTAAGAAACGGTATATATAAAAATAAGTAAATGATTTTAAGGATCTTCAAACAGTACTGAAGTACTATTCTTAAACGGTATATATAAACGGTATATATAAAAATAAGTAAATGATTTTAAGGATCTTCAAACAGTACTGAAGTATGTACTGAAGTACTATTCTTAATAGTGTAACCATAGGTGTATGTTTTGTCATTCACAGACAAATTTCTTCGGATTTCTACTATGTTATTGACGTTTACCATTATCTCTCCTACTGAGGGTTGATAATAATGGTTTTCTGATATTCTAAAAATTGAAAGAGCATTATTTGCTTACCTTATAATACTATTACGAATTACTTTAAATTAAATATGAAATGCATAGCCGTGATATTGTGTTTTCTAATTCTACAAAGATTCAATTCTCATAGTTTAAAAAAAAATTTCTTAAAAGCTTTGCTTTATAGAATTTATTAAGTATTAGAAAACTGTAAAATCATTTCGTTTGCTATGCATTGAGTTTAGGCATGTAAAGTATCTCAAAATAAAATTTATTAAGGAATTTATTCTTTCCAAAAGTAATTAAAAATCTCACTTAATTTTATTATGTAATATATTATATATGAAATGAGTTTTTAGATAACTTAGCAAGTGCAATAAAATGAACACAAGCGCTTATTTTGCAATTTTTCTCTCGATTTCGTCTTAATAGAAATAGTTTCGTTATAATAAAATATGGCAGAGTGTAAAAAGTATCTCAAAGATTAAACGTCATCAGCTAGATTTATTACAGAATTAACAACACGAAATACTTAGATTATTCTAAGGCAGATAAAATGATTCTCAACATAATGGTTTGAAATAAATATGAGGCACGGTAATTTAAAAATTTCATTCAAACGTGGATTTCGGAAACATCGGACGTGTTAAGAACCACTTAAAACATTTGAACGGAATCTATATATATCTTTCATTAGTCCTGTAAAATAAAATAAAATCGTGTACTTAACTAACAGTGAAAATAAAAATGGTTTGTGCAAATGATGAAGATAATTTTCATCCTGCTCCAGTATGGCTTACTGCTGAGTACTTAGAAAAAATATTGCAGGAGAATAAGAAGGATAATACGATAAGAGTGACGGATTTGGAAATAAAGCCCGCAACAGCTAAAGGGGAAAATTATGCCAGTATAATGACACGTGTGAAAGTGGATTTCATAGAACAACAGAGTAAAGATACACAGCATGAATATTATATAGTCAAAACAACTTATGAAAACGATCCTGTCATATCAAAAATAATGAGTGCCTATCATGTCGATAAGACAGAAATGATTATGTATGAGAAAATCTTACCAGAACTTAGTAAATTATTGCAAGAAATCGGTGATGACAGTAAACTTTTCGCAGATACGATACATGTAGACTACGAACATTCAGCTATTATTTTCGAAGACTTAGCAGTCTCGGATTTTATTTTGGCCGATCGTTTGGAAGGCATGGATATGCTGGAATGTAAATTAGCTTTGAAAAAATTAGCTAAAATGCATGCAACAGCAGCAGTTTTAAATGTCAGACATGGTGGCATATTGGAGAAATTTGATCATGGCATATTCAATCGCCACACCAAAGGATTTGCACCATTTTTTGAAAATTTGATAGGCGTTTCTGCAGAATTTGCTGGAGAATGTACTGGTTTGGGTGAATATTATAAAGAAAAATTACTTAAATTAAAGGAGCATGTTGTTGAGTATGCCACACGTGTTTACGATCCCCAACCAGGACACTTCTTAACATTAACCCATGGAGATTTTTGGGTTAATAATATGATGGTTAGTTATGATAAATGTGGTCAAAACGGCAGTAAAGAAATTAAGGATCTCATATTAATTGATTTTCAATTTTGTACTTGGTCGTCCCCAGCAGTGGACTTACATTACTTTTTCAATACCTCGATGAGGGATGAATTACGTTTTAACCACCAAGACGAATTTATACAATACTACTATAATATTTTGGTGCAGACCCTGCATGAGCTGAAATTCACCGGTAAAATTCCAAGTCTACATGAACTTTGTGTACAATTGGAAGCGGGAAGATTTTATGGTAAGAGAATATGATAAAATAATTAACAAATGTTTTATAATTGTAACCAATAAAGAAAACAGATTTTCAATCCTTCTTACCTATATCTCTTCCTTTAGCTGTTACTTCAACTCTTGTTGTACAACCGATAATGATAAACGATAATACTGAAAATGCTGATATGAATGCCCTTTTAATGACTGA